CATAATTATTAAGTGGTGATTAGCCGGGCCACGTTATATATCCAGACCTGAAAGACAACATGCAGCATTGAGTTAATGAATTAAAATAGGTTGTTCCTTTAGTGTTGTGTATGGTTTGTAAACAGTGAAAGATTTGATTGTATTATTGTCAGTATATAAATAATACAGTTGAGAATCAAATCCAACACAAGAGTTTATTGATTCAGTTCATTATCTATGTTTTTATGCATGTGTGTACCTGTGTGTATCTTACAGCTGTTATTTCAAGAAACCAAGAAGGGCCAGGAGAAATGGGAAAGGCTGTGCTGATTCCTAAAGATGACCAGGAGAAAATGAAAGAACTGTTTAAAATCAATCAGTTTAACCTCATGGCCAGTGATTTGATTGCCCTTAACAGAAGTCTGCCGGATGTGAGATTAGAAGGGTGAGTTTACCTGTGCTGTATAATCTTACATATCTCAGAATACCTCAGAACTTCATGTAATTCAGATTATTTCAGTTCTAGGAGTATGTGGTTCAGAATAACTATGCCATAGCCAGATTTTACTGTGCCATGCATATGAGGAGAGATTGAACTATTTTCTTCCTTGGCAGAGCAAAATATGTTATTTGAAAAATAATTGCAGAACACACAGCCTAACAGGTTTTTCTTCTTGAAATGATTTTTGTTTGCTTTTTCTTTACTTTATCTTGCTAAAGATAGAGCAAACATGCTCTTTAATAGATTATTTTCTTGCCAGCATATATAACTCTTACACTTTGATTTGAAAAACTATGTGCTTTGCTATTCCAGCATAAAAGTAACACATTGCTTGTATGATTCTTTGATCCTTTAAAAATTATTTATTATGGGCTCCAGCAATTTATGCTGCTGTTTATAATTAGAATACTCAGTTATTGGCCATGGAGGAAATAATTACTTGGAAATAATAATGCTGCATGAAAAATTAAGTTGAAAAATTAAACTTGTATGTGATTAACTGTAAGCCATGCTCTAGATCATTGAAGAAACTTTAAATGGATTCATGAAATTAGCTATTTGCAGTTTTGTCATTCTAGTATATAGCCCTTGTAAAGCAAACTATTGGAACTCAGAAAGTTATACCTTGAGATTTTAGAAAATTTCTAAGTTTACAGGTATGTTCTAGTCTAGGGCATATTTCTATGTAAATAGAAGTTTTTCTTTTAGGTATGTAATTACTTTTTCTATATACAACAGAATCATAGTTAATGCAAATAAAGTTTGCCACATGTAATTGGTTATATTATGTTAGTATTGTAGTGATATTAACATCATAATGCTAAATCTGAATTTTTTTCTCCTTTTGGAATTACTTCAGATGAAACCAAAGTAGAGTAACTAAAACCTTTCTGAGATTCTGGGGCTGAGTTGCCAGAAGGTTCATTTGGTAGCTAAATAAGTAGCTAAGAGTGATTTTGTACACTCTTTTATGCTTTTCAAATCTCTCTCTCAATCACAAATAACTATCAATTATGGATGTTTTTGGTCCCCAGCAAATGGTTAAAAGATCAAATATTACATTTGTGCCTTTAAAAGGCTAAATAATTTTACAGGTAGTTTTGTCCATATTTGTATATGTTTGTTGTATTTGCAAAAAGCACAAAAAACATATTCTTCTGATTAATTTAATTTGAACATTCTATATGCTGTTTATAATGTTGCATTTATTATTTTGTTTTATATACCATGCTCTAATAAAATGGCTAAATGTGGTACTTAGGCATTCTGAAAACCATGTAAGCACTAGTTCAAATTTTAAAAATCATTATTTTGAAGTATCAGAACATAAATAAATTAAATTTTATATAAGATCTGGGATAATTAGGTAAGAATCATTTTAGTACAGAGCCATCCCTTTTTAAAAAAGTAAAATCATTCTTGCTGGTTTGACTCAGTGAATAGAGCATAGCCTGTGAACTGAAGGGTTCCAGGTTTGATTCTGGTCAACAGCACATGCCCAGGTTGTGGATTCAATCCCCAGTGTGGGTGTGCAGGAGGCAAACTATCAATGATTCTCTCTCATCATTGATGTTTCTATTTCTCTCTTTCTTCTCTGAAATCAATAAGAATATATTAAATAAATAAATAAATAAATAAAATTTTAAAAAGTAAAATCTTCATTGGAAATCCATTGAAAATATTTGTGGCCAATGCTATATTTTCTTTTTATAACAATATTTTCTTATTATTATAAGAAAATATAATCTTATTCTTATTTTAGAGAGGAAGGGGGAGCGAGAGAAAGAGCCTCCTGCATGCTCACCACTGGGAGCCAAGCCCACAACCCAGGCATGTGCTCTTGACCAAAATCAAACCTGGGACCTTTCAGTCCCCAGGCTGATGCTCTACCCACTGAGCCAAACCAGCTAGAGCTGTATTTTCTTTTAAGGATCACTTAATATATTAAATGCTTGAATAAATAAGCATGAAAAGGGAAGATGCAGATTGATTAGTATTAGAAGTTCACAAAATGCCATATTTACTTTGGATAACATAGCTTCAAATTTGATATTTTGCAAATAGTCTAGGAAGTAATATTATTGAGATAAGAAATTTTCTATTTCACTTTAATATCAAGGAAGTGTATGCTATCAGTGAAAAAAAGTCAGACAGAAAGCAAAAACAACATAAGTACCATCCAAATTTCCTAGATAAATCATGAAGTGTATGTGAAGTCCACTGGGGACATTTCCAAGTCATCTTGAGAATCTCAATTGTGTGACTCTGTGGGAACAAATGCTGAAAAACACACCATGAATCAGATATCCACACTGTTATTTAAAAAAAAAGTCAAAATCTATTAATATTCATTTGATGTAGAAAATATATATTTCAGTTTTGGTATTAGTTACAGTTTAATTTTTGTATATTTATTTCTTAAATGGATGGGGCACATTAAGATAGTGTTAATGATGACTGCTGTAAATGTATGCAATATAAAAAGATGGGATTCACAAATAATTAGTATTTAAAACCTTATATAGTAGAAAACTCAAGTTGATATTTAGAAAGTGCACTGCTCAATTCATTAGAATATCTCAGCCTTTTATTAGATACTAGAGGCCTGTTTTATGAAATTCATGTATTTGGGGCCGTCCCTCAGGCTGGCCTGTGCCCTCACGCAGTCTGGGAGACCTTGGGTGATGTCCTACTGACTTGGAGGCGGGAAAGGCTCCTGCCACGACCGCTGCACTCACCGGCCAGGCTGAGGGACCCCACCCGTGCACTAATTTGTGCACCTGGCCTCTAGTATATAATATTTAGTTATTTGAGGGATATGAAATAATTGTATCACAGATAATCGTGATACTTGGATAAGTTAAGTTCAGTCAAGGTTAAAGGCCTTACTAAATATCTTACTTTCTTGAATACCCTCAGTTTCTGAGATTCTTGTTAAAGTTTGTGTATATGTATACATAAAATTCCAGGAAGATGTGTATACGTATATATAAAATTCCTTTCTGTCCTTTGCCCATCCTCTATAAACTAAAAAATTGCAATGTCATTAAATTTTGATTCAGTACTTTGAGAAAAAACATGATTAAACGTGGTAATAGGTGACTTGTCTTTGGTTGGTGATGACACTACAATATACAGGTAATGTATTATAGAATTGTATATTTGAAAACTATATAACTTTATTAGTGATGTCACCCTAATAAATTCAATATAAATATTTTTTTTAAATTCAAAAAGCATAATTAACCTAATGTGTTAATGCATCACCTTTCAGAATTATTAGCATATTTCTCATCAATTATGTATCTATGTTTTGTAAACTTATGTAATTTGGATTTAAAAATAGGGTCTAAATATTTCTGTTTTCAGAAAGCATGTAAATATACATCTCTAGTTTTTAACATAAGATTTTTGTATTACCGTTTAGTGAGAGAGGAAGAGAGAGAGAAATGAGAATTACCAAACTAAAGAAACTTATTAAAATACTAAACATTATTTTGAGCACCTAATATGCTAATATGTGCCAAGTACTGTTCTATGTGATGGGGATGTAGCAGTGAACAAATTGAAGTCCCTGCTTCATGGAACTTAGAACAAATTAAAGAATGAAGGAAGGTGAGAGAGAGAGAGAGAGTAGTGAGCAAAGCCCCTTTGAGAAGCTCACATTTGAGTAAGTTGAGTGGACCTTCAGCACATGAATATCATTATTTCATTTTGCTAATACACAGAGCTGTTAAATAATTACTGGGTTCTTGGAACATATAATGCTAGAAATATAACAGACCTATGGATATATAAAATTATAGCTACAGAAAAACAACAGAATAGACATTAAATAATAATGCATAGATGTGTGCATGTATGTATATGTATGTGTTCATGCATGTGTGTATTAATTTTTGAAAGCAGTGTTTAACATTTATTTCCATGAAAGTCAGCAAAACCACATTTTAATTTTCTAAGGTTTCTGTAGCCAGTGTTTTCCCATGCTCTATGCTTTCCTGGAAGCAGAGAAAAGAGTATGATTGTGATCATAATCAATGAGATGGGTACATGACTCTATTCCATTAAATGCAAAACAAATAAAGGGAACGAAATGCCAACTCCAGAGACTTTTTTCAAGCAATTAAGGAGAAAATCTTTATATATGGAACCAAAACACATAAGTTTAATATCTATGGTTTACTATTTGGTCTTGGATAAGTCATTAATTTTCTAAGCCTTAGTTTTCTTTCATTGATTAAACCAACTAACCAAATAGCCAACCAATCAACCAATATTTGTCATTTAGCTTTGAGAATAAAAATAAATGGATATATCAGGCCCTAACTGTGAAGATATAAAAAATATATTTACCTAAACCACTAACTATAGTATTGTATGAACAAAGCAATAATTGCAAAAATGATAAAGAAAGAATAAGATTGGGCTGAGTTTCTGGTGACATTTTTATATTTATTATTATTATTTTATTACTAGAGGCTCAATGCATGAAATTTGTGCAAGAGTAGGCTTTCCTTACCCCAGCTGCCAGCAGCAGCTTCCCTCTGGCACCCAGATCTGGGCTTCCCTTGCAGCCTCAGCTTCGTCCAGAAGGTTGTTGGGTCTAATTAGCATACTACGCCTTTATTATTATAGATTATTATTATCATTATGTGGAATTTTCTTATGCCTTAGGATCTGTTTTTCTACTAACTACAGTAACGTTTTAAGCAAGCAGCTTCTCCCTTTAGTCTGCAATTTTTTAAATTAAGAAATTACAAATATTTATGGGGTGAATATTTATTTTAAAAAGCTATGGAGAATTAAAAATTAAATCAAAATGTTAAGGTTTCTTAGCATTTACTTATATTCAGACATTTAATAGCACTTCAAGTTCTTGTATTGAGTTATTTGAAGGTTCTAATGCATCTGGCATTTAAATAAGTTTCATCAGGGAAAAA